GCTTAAGGTTCAAATCCAGCCAAGAAGTTTGTGACAATTTCCTTCAGCTTTGCATCCGACTGTTCAGAGATCTTTCCATCAGTCCTGTATACAAAAAACAAAAACAAATATACCACTGTAATTTCTAACCAAGATAAAATTTCTCCTTCATTTTATTAAAAAATGCAAAAAAAAAAAATCAAAACTTTCTCTCTCTTCTATTATCAAAGGAACTGATCATTTTTTCCATACCTGATATTACTCAAGAGGGACTGGTGTTGGCTGATGACATGCGCCAAGAAAGCACTCTCAAACTTGGTGATTTTGCTGGGCTCCAGTTTGTCCAGATACCCTCGTACACCAGCGTAGATGACTGCCACCTGCTCTTCAATTGCCATGGGAGCTGAAAAGAAAGTCAACTTCTATCTATTTGGACTCTAGATACCACATCACTATGCCAAGACCCAGGAAATTCTTTGCTGTCCTTGTTTATAAAGTATAGTCTTACATATATTTCTATCACCTATTCTTTTTCCAACTACCCAAAAGTCTATACTAATGTTTGTTTCCTTTCTGAAAATTAAGCTTTTATCACAAGTAATCCATGAAAATTACCATCAGATCCATGAGCTAACTTATAAGATTGTTTACAATCTGACACATACCACTACTCTTCTTTAACCATTAAGCCATTATGTATTTGATTTAACTAAATCAAATTGATATGGCATATTGATAAAATAACTGGATTTGGAATGAAATCTGGGTTTAACTGCCACAACCTGTTCGTCCTCGAGCAAGTTACTTAACCTTTCTAAGCCTCAGTTTTATCATCTGTAAAATATTAAGGGGTTGGATAAGACAACTACTCTAGTCTCTACTGGCTTTTAATCTCAGCCTAAGTGATAACAAAAACAAGAGGCACAACTCACAATACTGTCCTTGTTTCAGCAGCTCAGTCAGACGCACACCACGGCTCAGCAGCTGTTGAGTAGCAGCATCTAGGTCAGAACCAAACTGGGCAAAAGCTGCCACTTCACGATACTGAGCCAACTCCAACTTCATGGTACCTGCTACCTAGAGCACAAAAGATAAACATGGATACCGAGTTCTTTATTAATCACAGGCATTAATTTAAACATTTCTGCACTTTGTTTAACTTTACAACTGTGACATCAAATTACCTGCTTCATGGCCCTGGTTTGAGCAGCCGATCCGACACGGGACACAGACAGACCAACATTAATGGCAGGGCGGATACCTTTGTAGAACAATTCGGTTTCCAAGAAAATCTACAAATACGAAAGATTAAATTACCTACCATGACAAATACAAGGACACTTACTAAAGTGTTTTGAAAATGAAACTTTTAAAAACTTAAAACAAGTACTTCTATAATGTCTTAGGATCTCTCAGATTATAGATCTTTTTCTTTTAATGTGAGAATTGCTGGCTTAGAATTAATTAAGATATTTTCTATCAAACTATTTATTGTGGTTAATAAATACCTGTCCATCAGTGATGGAGATGACATTTGTTGGAATGTAGGCTGACACATCACCAGCTTGTGTTTCAATGACTGGAAGAGCAGTCAAAGAGCCACCTCCAAAAGCGTCATTCATTTTGGCTGCTCTCTCCAGCAGACGCGAGTGCAGGTAGAACACATCCCCAGGATAAGCCTCACGACCAGGGGGGCGACGGAGCAGCAGAGACATCTGGCGGTAGGCAACAGCCTAGCATACGTAGAAAATAGTGTTCAAAAGGAGTGACATGTTCTTTGAAATCAGGTTATACAATTACCCAATATTTACCACCACCCCTTCAATATCCTCCAGTTTAAAAATGAAATTCACTCAACCTGTTTGGACAAATCATCATAGATAATTAGAGCATGTTTGCCATTATCTCGGAAATATTCTCCCATAGAACAGCCAGAATATGGAGCCAAGTACTGAAGTGGGGCAGCATCAGATGCAGTGGCTGAAACCACGATGGTGTATTTCATAGCATCTGAAGAAAAAAAGTAGTTCCAGACTTCAAATAACTGTAATTTAAAAATCAGTTTCCCCAAATTGTGAAAAATAACCAAAAGACATAAACTTTAAGAGACCTGTAACTCAGAATTCATCAAATTAAATGTAAAAGAATTTATTTTATAATATCTTAAATAAAACTATCAAGTGCTTCTAACAGTTTAGCAGAAATGATTAGTTCTTTTAGGGAACAATTCAAACTTCCCTTAGTCATCTCTGAACAAATTAAAAAAAAAAAAACAAATAAGCATTTTAACTGCAATTTTTAGTGTTATTAAACAAAAATGTTCAGCTTTAATGCCCCTTAATACCTGCATCTGTAAGTCTCTTCACCAGCTGGGCAACAGTGGATCTCTTCTGACCAATAGCAACATAAATACAGTACAGCTTCTTCTTTTCATCAGTTCCATCATTAAAGCGTTTCTGATTAATGATTGTATCAATAGCAATTGACGTTTTGCTGAAACAGTTTAAGTTAAACAGTCAGAAAAGGTCTGTCAATTCACATTCTACTAGCCACCAACTGATTAAACCATGAATACACTTCTCTACTTCTACAAAATTCTTTTTGAGTTGAATAATGTAACAACACTAAAAACAAGTTAAACTTATCTTCTTTTGGAGAAGAAAAAAACAACATTTAACAGATTACGGAATCTTTACCCTGTCTGTCTGTCACCAATAATCAGCTCACGCTGACCACGGCCAATTGGTACCAAGCTATCCACAGCCTTAATGCCAGTCTGCATGGGTTCACGCACAGAAATTCTAGGAATGATTCCAGGGGCCTTCAGACCAACTCTTCGACGAGTTTTGGAACCAATTGGACCCTTTAAGAGAAAATATTATTAAGCATTGTTTTGACACCCTTCCCACCAACCCAGTTCTTTAAAATTAATTCTAAATCTACCTTTCCGTCAATAGTGTTGCCCAGGGCATCTACAACTCGGCCCAATAGCTCCTCACCAACAGGAACATCCACAATGGCTCCTGTTCTCTTCACAATATCTCCTTCTTTAATCAGCTTGTCATTACCAAACACGACAACACCAACGTTGTCAGGTTCCAAGTTCAGGGACATACCCTAAAAGAAATTTACATAACTTAAAGTCTAATAGATACTGCAGAGATTTTAAAGGGTGCCCCTTAACCCGCAACAGTTAGTAGACTGACCACTTAAAATAAAATAATTTATCCTAAAAGAATTCAAGGAGAAATAAAACAATCCACAGTTCTCTTTTGTTATACATTTATTAAATTATACAATTTATTTGTAGGTGATATGAATATTTTACTACAGGCATGTCTGTATGCCTTTGTTATTTTCTGTCCCAGTAACCAGTGAAGAAATTTTTTTAAAAGGCAGAAGAAAAAAAATCTTTGTAGAGCCTTGGCTTTATATTCAACTTATTTTTGAAGCTAATGAAAACTCCACCATCACAGTACTTTATTCTATTTTCCAACAGATCTTGAATTTAGTAATTTTATTACAGCAAATTAGAATTCTCAAGCTAAGAGGAAGAAAGTAGTAACAGTTGAATTCCCCAAGTATTAAGCCCTAATTCACTGTTACCATCTAATAGAGTGATTGGATTGGCTCCTCAATCACATTTAGAAAAGAAAAGATTACACCAGATATAAGTCTAGAACAAAAGCCAAATCTTGGGCTTAACAGTAAAGATGAATACAATTTTAAAAAGTAGTCCATACTGAAACAATCCCTGTTCTCGTCTCAAACTAGACACCTGCCACAGGGTCACCCTTTCCTTATTCTACTTCTCACAGCTGCTATTTCCAAAATATAATATTGCCCCAGTCCAGGGAAACCCAACTTAGGAAACAACAATGCTAAAACAGTCTAATCTCAAGCACATGACTGGGAACAAATATTTCAACTTGCCCATAAATTTCAAGTATATTTAAATAGGAATACTAAAAGTCTATGATATCAACCAGATAAGAAATGAAAATAACCCTCAGAAATCACTTGTGATATTTTTAATGAGCCTATTTCACCTATAAGAGTTGACACAGATTTGCAAACAAAGTCCACCTAGATTCTAAAAGCTATCAGTAACTAGAATAAATCAAAACCACTTGCAATTAGGATGGGGCTTGCACATATTCAATTTTTGAGCCAGAAATTAGTCACTTCTTAGGTGTATTCCAGTTACAATTCATTTAATGGCTTTAACATTTACTTTATATTCATAAATGAATGATGATGGTAAAAAGAAAAAACAAAACCTCAACCCCCTACAAAGTTCTCAAGTAGTCTAAAAAGATACTTACTACATACCCATTGTGACTATGACCAAGTTGCTTACTCCCTTGGTGTCTTAAAAACAACCCTAAGACTATAAGTTATAGAAGAGCTGCCTGCATTTATGAAAGGAATTTTGGGAAGCTCCCCAAAATATAAAATCACAGGCCTAGAACTCCTCCACAGCTC